GAAAAAGCATCAATTTTTATATAAACAGACAGCGAGAGAAAACAGCAGAGGGGAAAAGAGACGAACACTGAGGGAGAATATTTTACCTACAGAAATGTGCTTTCAACCCTCCTGATTTTGCATGCCATCATTAAAAATATCGCTGCTTGGATAGGACCTTCTTGTTTCCATGCTGACTTCTTCTTTGCTTCTCCTGTGAACTTTTTAAATTCTGCATTTGGCAGCAGTCTTGTTTTTCTTGGAGCTGAGGACTGTGTAGCATACTGTTCGCTGAAGGCTGGGATGCAGAAATTTATTATTAAAAATAAAAGAAAGAGAGAAAAGAATCTATTCCATAAGGATCGAAATGACTGCATGTTAAAGAAGTTACGATTTTGGAAGTGCTTCGTGAAAGAGATTGTGTTTCTTTTCAAGGAAGCATCATTTGTTTGGCCAGGAATGATTTAATGGTCTTCATTTTGCCTATCTTGGTTAATGGGAGCTGAGAGGAAAGTTTTTTTTTCTTCTTCTGTTTTTTTTTTTTAAAGAGAATTCCTTCATCAGATGGAAAGATTTTGTTTGCCATTTGTAGGCATAACCTTGGTGACCCATATATCCCCAGACGTTCTGGTAAGATACTTATTAAAATGTCATTACCCAAAGGAGCAATCATAATTAAATACCAAGAGGGTATTTTTTATATGGTAAGAGACAAACATTTTTTTTTTCTTTCTGGATTAAGGAGTCATGTACTCATATCAACCGGAATACATGTTCATTTCCTTTATTTTTATTCATTTTCCCAGTCTCAATCTCTCCATCTGTCTTTCTGTTTTAAATTTCTAGCAACTTTGTACAACGAATCTTAAACTCATTCCTCACCCCCAAAAGAGTATCATATCATCTTAAACTTTCTCTTTTCTTGGAATTGCTTAGGTAGCATGCTGCTATTCATTTATTTTGAAAGTTTAGTCTAGATAAATTAAATTACAAAAAAGCAAAAAATCCACAGTTTCAACTTCTGTTCCTTATTGTCTGTGACCCATGGGTGTCTTTTATCTAATCCCATGATATTGTCAAGTTACTATTTGGTCACGGAAACATGGCAGTAATTCTATTTCATTGGAAAGATGTTTGACTTTCTCATTGATAAGGTATCCATAGCAACATCAATTGCATTTCATGGTGAAATTCATCGACTTCAGTGTGTAAGCTGTCTTTTTGTTTTTTACTATTGCTTGCAAATTACTAATAATTTTTATTTGTTGTAATCACTAGTCAAGGGAGCAGGGAGAGGAAGTTGTCTTTGTAAAACATTGAGCCTTATGGTTCTGCTTTGACAGGAACCAAAGTGGCCAATGCTCTGTTTGGCCAATATGATAAGTGGCCAAATGCTTTGTTTAGGTTAAAGAGTCTGTAATATTTAAAAAGTCAGTTTATTATACTATAGATGGTTTTTTTTTTTAAGAATACTAAAATAATACTGCTTATTTTGGTCCTTGGTCTATGATTGGAGGGCAGTGTTCTTATAACAGTAAGCACATTTTTTAAATATGCAAGCAGGATACACGTTCATATGCTACATATAGTGATCTAAAGGTTATGTGCATTCACTCTCCCATTCTCTGCCTCCCCCAATCCTATGCCCAGGGTGCAGTGTTCGAAGGGAGCAGCAGAGCTCTGACCCCTGATCCAACTCCTACCCACACCATCACCTCTTCCTCAGCTTTTACAAAAATTACAGTGCCACAGTGAACTCCATACTCTCTACACTGAAATAATGAATGCTAAATTTTGGCTAGATTATTTTAATTAAAAATGGCATTTTAATGGTACAGTCATTGTAAAATTTCGTCATATCCAAAGGGAAAACCACTCTTCTTCTTGACTAGAGAAGACATCTCATTTATCATAGGCTGTTAATTTCTTTTTGTTCAGATTTCACGTAGCATATAGATTTCTGTCACTTTTTTATTACTTTGAAATAAATTGCCATAGTGTATATTTTAACATATTGTCACATTCTTGGTCAAACTCATACCTCTCAAATAGAAAAGGATAATTAATATATAATATGTAAATAGATAAGAATAGAATTTCTTAACCATATGTCTTTCTCATTAGTTTGTTATATAAAGAAATAACTCTCTGATACATATCACATTTGGCAAATTTTACTGTTTAGTGCTTGGAAATGAAAAGATTAAGCAGTGAATTTTGGGAGGCTTATTTTTATAAGCTCTCACTTGCAGATTATCAGATAGATCTTCTCTTCTGTCATAAGTGATGACCCAAATGAGTCATTTTGAATGTGTTTTTTCTTTGACTAAAATTCATCCGTGGTTTTGAATTCCATGCTTTTCTTATTTTGTTAGAGTTCTGGTCCCATGATAATGCTACCTTCTCGATTGACTGTCATTGTCAAATATTCTCTTTTAAAGAGAACAGTACACAACCGTATTGTGAGTTACAGTTTGTGTTTGTGAGATTTATTTACCTCTTTTACTGAGATAGAATTTACCGAGTTACCCTGATCCTGTTAGTTTAACCTCTTAAGTGGGGAGGATAATAGTGACACAGCTATTCTTTTATAAGGTATTCTTTTCAGAAGATTTCCATAGTTCATATCACTTGTACCTAGCACTCAAGTTTACTCCCTCTTTAAAAGTTGCCAAATCAGCACCTGTTCTTCCTATTCTTACACTTGATCTTAGCCAAAAGGCCAAGAAGCGATGTTCTTCCTATCCTTAACGTAAGGTATTCTCAAGACCTCAATAAGGCGGGTGATTGAAATGTGTCAAGAACTGTTGTTGATAGATCTAGTGGAAAAACAAATTACAGGTTCTTAATTTATATTTTCTTAAATCATCCTATTTATTTCATTAGTTGATTAGTGTTTATGAACCTTATTATAATAAAATTTGAATGCATATTAATATTTACTAGCAGATATAATGCCAGTCATTCTAGAAATTAAAAATAAAGCATTAAAGAAATAACATATAAGCATTCATTTTTACATGATTGTATCAGCTAATAGACTCAAAATTGTGTCCTAGCTAAACTATAATTAGATCAGTGCAATAATTCCAAACTTACAGTGATTGACTATGTCTTGTCAAAACTGAGTAGCTTAAAATAACTGTTATATGTTTTACTTTGTATACCATGTGAATTTTTTGTCATGTAATTTTTTTATAAAGGCCTTCAAAGCCACATTTTAATAGCTATGTAGTGTTCATTTTTATGCTATAATTTATTTGATAGTTTTCCTTTTTTGGATATAATAATTAACACATGGTAATTGCTGAACTTTTACATTATCATTTATTGGTTCAGAGGATATTGGATATGTATTAAATTATATATTTTATATCTGTATATGTAAATGTATTTAAAGTATGTGTGTTTATATACATTGGCTATATGTGGAAATTATGTACATTATTTTCAACATTACTCACTTGCTAATTTAATACACAATAATATCTTGATCTTGTTAAATTTCTTCCATGGTTTTAAACCATTTCTTTATGGTTTTTTCCCATAAATTTATGAACGATTGATATTTCTTCTGTAAATTGTTCTTATCCTTCCCTCAGTTGTCTCCTAGGGTTCTGTTTTTTAAATTTTTATTTTATTATTATTATTTTGAGACAGAGTCTCACTTTGTAGCCCTGGTAGAGTGCCGTGGCATTGTAGCTCACGGCAGCCTCAAACTCTTGGGCTCAAGTGATCCTCTTGCCTCAGGGCAGTCTACCCAGGGCAACAGAGTGAGACTATCTCAAAAAAAAGTTTTTAATTAAAAAAAATTAAAATTACAGCATAACTTCTAGAAATTTCCCATCCAAGGCACTGTAACAAACTCTTGAATATACAGAGGTGGTCAACATAAGGAACTAGGCCTACTGTACTGATATGTGTTTGTGGTTCGTGTGCAGTCTATGAAAATTAGGTCAACTTAAGAAGGTGGTCCGTGTAGAGAGGTGGTCAACTATGGAGGTTCTACGGTACTATTAGCTTTTCATTGAAATTAAATTTGTAATTTTGTTTACATAGAACTGAGTACCTAAAAATTTTATCTAATTCAGTCTTAACTGGTAACACTATGTTTGTCACTAAAATTTTACCATTTTTTGTATGTGATTATTAAACATTCCTTGATAATATTCAAAGGTGTGTTACTTTTTGTTACTATTGTGAACAGTTTAGTTGTTTAAATCTAAGGAGTCATTGCTGTTAGAAATAGTCCCCTTGTTAACTGCTAGGTTATTAGTTGTAAATAGTTCATTAGTCAGTAGTCATGAGTAATGAATATACTGGACAGATGAATGGAATTTTCAATCCTCTCAGTTGATACCTTATATTTCCTTTATATTCATCCTGTTAAATGTTATTTGCAACAAATATATATTCTGCTTTATAAGCAAAGTAACTCAGGGTTATCACAACTATGGGAATGACTTAATAATATTTTACAGTTGCTGTTTTTCTGAAAAATCTGCGTTCTGTAACTTTTGGGGCATAGTTCACATGAAATAATTATACTCTTTGGAGCACTCATGTTTTTGTGATATCAAAATAGATTAAGAATTATTAAAATGTTTTGGCCTTTTGGTTCTTACCATTCATGGCAGTAGATTAAACTACCCTAGTGAGTTACTTAACGTATCTTCCAAATAAATTGAAAATTTAATGAATCACAAATAAAACTTTACATAGTTTAACATCTATCTGGGATGTTACTGACAGATAGCAGTAAAGCTCTATGTTAGCAGACTCTTTGTCACGATAATATTAATTAGAATCAACTTCTTAAGAAATGAGAAGTTGAAATGTCAGTTATCAAACTAGAAATGTATTCCTTCAGGTATGTTAATTTATTTGTGGTAGCTATTTCATAGATGATTATTAAAATGAAGATTTTAAGAGCATGATTACTCTTTCAAGGAAAGAATACAAATATTGGCCAGGTAAAATAATCATTTAATTTATTGTCATTTTTACCTTATCTTTTCCAGCTCATGGGGCATTCAGAATGGGACCACAAACGAGGGCCCCGGGGATCACAGGTAAATGTCTTCTCTTTGTTTTTTTCTTACTTTGTTTTTCTAATACTTTCAGCCAGGAGTTTTCAAAAACTCAAGAAATAATAAGAAGTAGAAAGAGGAAGAAGCAAGACAATCGTGCCATTTGTTTTTATTTAAGTCAGCTGTAATTAAAGCCTGGCTTTCAAATCCCCAAGGCAGATGCCAGTATATTCTTCCTAAGAGCATTCTCATATCCCAGATTGGTTGTGTTTATTTGAATATAGATTTTATATTTATCTTGTCTCTGTAGAATACATTTGGATCAGCAACCCACGCTCTTGATTTTATTTATTTCCTTTGATAATCGTCCCATCTTTTTTCTTTTTTTCCTCTATCTTCCTGGTTTGGGTTAAATATTTTGAAATATAATCAGGGTAAACTTTGAACTAATTAGACGATTTTTGTCTCTAAATTAACTGTCTGCATTGAAGGGAAAGAGATGAAAAGGCCTATTATTTTTGAAAAGAAACAAATTCTAAACCTTTCTATATTACCAGACTGTTTTCATTGTCTTACTTTATGTCTTAGGCAAGGAGAAAAGCTTCCATGACGCATTTATGCTTTTTTAATGACCTAATTAGACAATGTGGATTTGTTTTGCTTCCATAATTACTTTGCCTGACAGCATAAAGGCTGCGTCTTACACGAAGGAAATTCTCTCTCCTCCTGGAGGATTTTGCAGTGGAATAGAAAACTAGTTTGTCTCGTAGCAGCTTATGGTTACCTGACTGTCCACGTGCACCATGAAAATTAAGTGGGTGGAAATTTTTACTCCTACTGAGCACATTTTCTATTGCCAGTAAAAATATAATTAAAAAGAGTAGACCGTGCAAAACCGTATCTGAAAATTGGTGGTGAATTGCGAACTTTCCCCAGGTGTTTTATAAACCTGGTGTACGGTGGTCTTGTCCTGATGTTTGTGTGGATAACTGTATTTAGTTAGGTCACTGGGAAAATAAAGCCAAGTCAATTGGTTGTTTCAGTTGAGATTTCAATCGCTGTTTTTATGTTTGCTCATTTTCCATTTGGTTCATCAGTATTATGAACCAATCAAGTTACACTAGGGGTATCCTAAAGAACATAACACTTTTCTGCTTCCCCCCGCCCCCACCTCTCCTGCTTCATGTTCTCTGGCAACTTCCCCTCTGAATACATCTATAAGAAAGCTTTAAATCAGAATTTGCTGCAAGGTTGGTAATAAAATGATGAAATTAATGTAGAGTAAATTCTCGCGATTCTAAACTAGTTAGAAAATGAGGATAAGCCTAAGTGTGAAAGCCTTGGTTTCTGACTATTGCCACCAAAGGCATGTTCGTACCAAAAACATGCCCAGCAATGTGCTGAAGACGTGTCCCTTATAGCAATGTAGTGTTATTTATGTATATATGTAAATTATTGTTAAAAATATATAGTGTTTGGTCCACATATGGCCTACTGTTACATAATTCATCTTCACTTTGGATTAGTAACTCTGTCCCTGTAAATTAAAAAAAAAAACTCATAAAAATACAATATTGTTTGTGTTAACATTAAATGTAATGAACCCACAGTGAAAATTTTCAAACTTCCAGATAGTACATACAGCTAGAAAACTTCAGAATTTCACATGTACACACAAAATATTTTCATAAATAAAGTTGGATGATCTTGAAAAGCCTGAGGTGGTAGGAAAAACAAAAGCATCAGAAGTACTTGCATGAATTACTGTCATCAGCATCAATGTCTTTCTTGGATCTCTCCACCAGAAAAATATTCTGAAGTAGTATACCTTTATCCCACTTGGATTCCCCAACTCGGGTAAAAACTGTCAAAGTCAAAAGCAAAAATACACACAGCAGAAAATAAAAAAACGACAGGAAAAAGTTATTCTTTGGAAATTCCAGGTAGATGAAAATTAAGCATTAAATAATAACCTCTTACCAGATTCCAATTCCTTACTGGAAAACAAAGAGATACTGTGTGTTTTACACCACTGATCCCTTCTTATCTTGCTATTATTTTCTTGGATAATAATTCTAAAACTTTTCAGCCTTTCAAAGGGAATTTCAGATCGGCTGCATTGGAACACAGATCTCTGAATATTTTACTAATCCCCCAAAGCCTTGTCAAATCCTCTCTCCGTTTAGTTAAATTTAGATGGGTTTTTAAGCATCCCTTATGTGTACATCGCTGTGGTGGGTCTAATTCTGAGGAAAAACTGAATGACAAGATTACTGTTTTCTAAATTGTAGTTGGAAATAGAGCTATACTTGTATATATAATTCACTACTAAAGGCCATCTGGTGGTTGCAATATTAAATACAGTCATATACCACATAATGATGTTTCTGTCAATGACAAACCACATATAGGATGGTGGTGCCATGAGAGTATTTTGACTGTACCATTTCTATGCCTAGTACACAGATACTTACCATTGTGTTACAGTTGCCTCCAACATCACAACATTAGGTACAATAACATGCTGTGTAGGTTTGCAGCCTATACATACAGCCTTGGCGTGTAGCAGACTGGACCATCCAGTTTGTGTGAGTCCCCTTAATGATATTTGTAGGACAAAATCACCTAATGACACATTTCTCAGAAAGTATCACTGTTGGTAAGCAATGCATGACTGTATATAAATAAAGTGGGATGAGCTTTAGGTGGAAAGGAGTATGAGTGTTCCTTTCTTCGGAGAAGTAGGAACTACTTAGAAGTGATGATATCAGAAAGGCTAATGGAAAAGCTTGAGTAAAAAGTCTGAACTGGGAAGACTGTGGGATACATTGGGACATTTGTGAATTACTTTATAGACACTGATCGGGTTGGGATCACTGCGGAGAACTATTGTGAAAGAATGATCACAGAATGCCAGATATTATTAATTAGAAAGGAGAAGGATGTGAGGAAGGTAGCGAGTTTGAAGCCAAGCACTAGAAGAATTACAGCCTTTGATACGGAGCAGTTTAGAGAGAAGACGAGGAGGTCAGTGTTAGCAACCTCGAGTGAGAAGTGAAGACTATAATTCCAAAAGAAGTTTCAGACAGATACTCGAGGGGTCACTCTGATGCCTGGTTAGAGCAGAAGATGGAAACTTGGGAATGCTGGACAGAGAGGTGATAACAGAACTACACCAGTAGATAGAGTCTTGGAAAAATATTAAAAGAGAAAAACCGAAAAAGGCCAATTCTTGGAGACCACTCCCTGAAAACACTGGAAGGCATCTGGGGATGGAATTATTAAATTCACATGGTCACACTAGGAACCAGGTGAAGGAAAAGCAATTCAGAATCAGAAGCAGTGTACTGTCAAGTTTACCAAAGAGAGGGCTGAGAATGCAGAAGTTCAAGAAAAAAATAAATGTCGTCTTTGGATTTAGTGATTAGGAAGCCACTGGGGAACTATGAGAAAGCAGGTTTGAGAAGTGGTAGAAAGCAGGACAGAAGAGACTTGTGGAAGATAGTAGCACGTTCTCTCGGAGGAGCTTTGTTTTGAAGGAAATTTAGTGTTACAGAAAGAAGTGTCAGCAGAAGGGAGGGAAATCTCTTTTTATGCCAAGATGAGATGTGCGTCTTAATTACTGACAGATGAAGAATCAGTGTGAAAAAGAGAGCCCTGCACATTCTCGGTAGTGAGTTAAGGACTGAACGTACTTTCTTCCAAAGTGGTCCTTCTGGCACCTGTCTCCATGTTTTCCTCCCAGCCAACCAACTCCCCGCCGCCTCCCATCCCTCCATTTACACTATTTCAGGAAATCTGGCCCTGTTCTCCAATGCACTACTGGATAAAAAAATTGCCAGAAAGTACAGATATAGCAGCTTTGGAAAGACCGTAGAGATACCTCTAACAAAAAGTTAAAAAAAAAAAAAATAAGGACATATATTATAAAACAAAAAAAAAAGTCGTGAACTTAAAGACTTCTTTTTTTTTTTTTTTTTTTTTTTTTTTGGTAGAGACAGGTGAGTCAAGTTAGGGATATAATACTGAAAAATCTTGAATGGTGGAAAACACGCAGAATACGTGTTGTCTTAGATAATCTAAATCGGAGGACTTGCTTGGTTTCTGAGCACTGAGACACGTCCAGTAGGAAGCACAGAGCTGTCTCACATGTGAATGAGGAGGCTTGCCAGAGGAATGTGAGCATATTGTACTTTGATCTGAAAAACATGACTGTATTTCAGGCACTTTCTTTTTTGCCTTTGAGGAATCAAAAAACAACTTTGGCCTTCCAGTGGCCTATAGTTTTATCTGCAGTCAGCCTTCATCACTGCTAGGATGGAGTTCAGCTTCTGGCTTCCCCCTCGGTGCTTATCAATAAGAGATCATCTCAAATTTTTCTTTTTTCTCCAAAATTATATCTTCATTATCACCAAATTTAAGAAGGTGAGCCTTGTATATTAAATACTTATCCTATAGAAAAATGCCGATCATGTGTCAAATCAGTTCCAGCATGTAATTGCATATGATTCTTTAGACTCAGCAAGAATTTCCTTCAAGTTGCCTTGTTTTGCCTTATTCTCAGTAACTCTCTGATAGAATTCATCAGCTCACTCATGGCTTTCTGGCTGATTTTTCTTCTTCTTCTTTTTTTTTTTTTTTTAAGTCTAAACTCTCAAAGAGTAGATCATCAAATACAGGAAAGATGCTAAATGATAAATAAACTTTCAGTGGCAGGCAGAACTCTCATTTGGCAGCGTTCCCAGTAATGCCAAGTGAAATCAGGGGATGGAATTCTCAGAAGGCAATTACTTTCTTTTTTTTTTTTTCCTTTAAATTCTTTAAGAAAAGTTTTCCAGGGGGAAGTTGAGAGAGACAATAGAAAATACACTGTCCTTTGAAAAACTTACAAGTGGTAGGACAGGATTCTAGGGAGCCAAAAAGTTACTTATTTTTTTAGTCGAGGGTCCTTATGGAAAGGATTAGTTCCATTTGTGAACCTCCTAACATTTTAATCTACTTGGCCCCAGCAAGTCTTCATTTGTCAATAGATAAATACTAGC